TGACCTGTCCCCCACGGTGAGAATCCCCTGCTGGGTCCAGACCCTTCTGTTTGCAGGCCAGGGGCTGCGGCCCAGGAAATGAGATTTTACCTACCCAAGGCTGCACTGTGATGGCGTTTCCTGCACAGCAGGTGTTGGCAGTGCCACTGCCCCCTCAGTACCACCCTGGTTCTTAGTGCTGACTGTGAAAGTGAAATGCCATCTCATCCAAACAGGTAATTTATGGACTCGCCTAGGATCTGCACCCAAGACCAAAGAAAAGAATACGAAGAAAGTGGATCACAGGGCACCTGGCGCTGAGGAAGACGACTCCGAGCTGCAGAGGGCGTGGGGGGCTCTGATTAAGGAGAAAGAGCAGTCTCGCCAAAAGAAGAGCCGGTTAGATAACTTACCATCTCTCCAGATTGAAGTTAGTCGGGAAAGCAGCTCTGGTTCAGAGGCAGAGTCCTGATGCCCCGGGGCCTATGGCAACTGCCCTAAAACCTGACCTTCTTGCACAGGGTGGGGCGCACAGTAGGAACCTCCCCCGCAGGGGCTGGCGCCCTCTCGCTCCTGCTCACACAGTCACCCTCTCAGCTCTTGCTACTTCGGCAAGACGTCTTAAGAATGGGACACATTTTCAAGGGCGTCTCTATCTTTCGCTGCAGAGTCGTAGTTCTGGGCCCTCGATTCCTTTCCCATCACCCCACAGGCTTTACCCTTTGAGAAAAAGGCAGCCCTCCAGATTTTGTAGACATTTTTCTTAATATTTTTAACATTGTGTCTTTTAAAAGAAATGTTTTACACAGTTCATCCAAAGAGCAGAGAACTGAACTTCTCACTATTGCCTTGGCCCTGACAGCTGTTACCAGCACCCTTTTCCCAAGAAAAGTCAATTCCCAGGTGCTTATTGGACATCCTTCGAGGGGGAAGAGGAGGGAAGCGGCCAGCTCACCCTTCCGGGACCCTAGTGTGGGGGCGAATCTCACCGACCTGACCTCAGAGGTGCACCAGTGCCGCCCAGGTAGATAAGAGCTGCAGCATTGACTGTGCTTCCGTTCTTCCCTCGGGGATTGCTCATGTCATGGGCCTCTTACTTGCTGTCAGCTTGATGTGAAGATCAAGTTCAGTGCTGTGGGATTTTTAGGAACAAAAAACTGTGACGTCTGGATTTGGGGTTGATTTTTGTGCTGGGGGTGGGATTATGGGTTAATGTTAAAGAATTTTTAAGTCTGTATTATGTTTAAAACACAAATGATTTGAAAGTTTAAATTTTTAGTTTTTATATGTGGAAATTCTTCCTGTTGGCTAAAGGGGAAGCTCGAGTGGTGTCTTCTTTTGTGCTGTTAAATATATATTCTATTCTTTGGAAGAAGGCAGAGAGAGGAGTCTTATTATTTTTAAATGCTTCTAGTTGTAGAGCCTGTCTGTTGTACATAGAGTTCAGCTTGCTTTTTGGCTCCAGTAGGAAAAAAATCCATCCATCTGAGATGGGTCCTGTTGTTTATTATCACTCTAGAAGTTAATACATTGATATTTATTCTTTCTGTCCCCAAGTTGTGGCACCTGAAGACATCTTAAAACTTGGCAGAAAAGATAATAGTTATGAAAATTTTAGTTCATTTATTTTTAAACTCCTTTCAGATTATTTTACCATTAGGAGGAGGTAGATTGTTTCTTCTTGCTGTCTGATTTTTGTTTTGTAGTATTTAATTTTGTATTCCTCTGCAGTTTTGAGAAACAGTGTTTCGCTTCGGTTTGCTGGAACATGGGAGTTAGAGCTGGTCGTAAGCCGTGGTCCTTTTTGCGATGTCACAACTCTTCACCTGCCTGGGCTGTTCCGCACACAGTGCAGCCTGGATCCTGGCGATCTGTACTTGTGGCCGAGCTAATGGTCACATTGATAGTTGATTACACTGTGGCACGAATGAATGCAGAACACTGTTATTAATAAAGGAAGTAAAAGGGCTGCAAGATTTGAGAGCTGCAACAAAAACTGTATTGTCCCATATTTTGTTGATTAACCTGCTTTTTCTCCCTCCCTTTAGAGTATTAGAGCATATAACTGTGATATATTTCAGCTTCCTAATAGGATTCTAGGAGAGAGATGGTTCTGGTTTCTCCGCCAGTTGAGACTTAAGGCATCTGAGATTCCTCAGCTTTCCTTTCCCTGTGAAGCACACGGCTGAGAGCCAGGTTCTTAAGAAGGGTCAGGGGTTGGGGAGTTGGTAGAGTGAGAAGTGCGGGGGTCTGAGAATCAGAGACCTGGATGCCAACCCCTGGCTCTGCGCTATGGACCTGGGCCTCAGTTTTCCCATCTAGCAGTTGAGTGAGCTGGTACCAGAATTCCTGGCTTTGTTGGTGCGTCTCAGTGGCGGTTTATTCTTCCCAAGCTGTGATGGCGGTGCCCTGGCCTGCATGAATTTCTATTGCAGGTGGCTGGAGGAAGCGCCGAGGAGACAACTGAGAGTGAGCGTGAGATGTGGACAGGGGCTTTTCCCATCCCAGCAGTCTCTCGTTCTGCAATGGGGCAGAAATGTCTTGTGGTCAGGGTCGCAGCTGGCATGGCCTCTGCAGGGTTTAGAATATGCCCCTTCCCAGACTTTGCTTTTGGTTTTCCACCAGCAGCTCAGGCCCATTTGTTCCATGGCCTTTCAGCACTCACCAGTCTCTTGCTGGAGATCAGCAAAGACATTCTGGAAGGAGGTGGTGTGCAGTCAAAACTGGGTCTTTGATCTAACCAAGAAAAATACACACTTGAGTAGCCTTCAGTTTTCACAGACACACAGAGAGAACCCGGAAAGGCAGGTTTGACGATTTTACTTCTCGGAGTTACTGGCCTCATTAGCCTCTCTAACCCTTCAGCCCGCTCTCAGTCACTCAGATCTTGCAACATCTTGAGTGTGTCCTGAATGACGAGGCCTTTTCTTTGGCGTTTAGGAGTGAGAATGGATAGTCAGGACAGGCCTCTGGCAGGCAGCTGGGCGTGCTTTTACCCTGGACGCTCCCCACACATGTGGGCACAGGGCTACCCACTTTGTGTATTCCTCTTAGTCTCATAGGTAGGAGGTTTTAAATCCATGTTTGCTGCTTGATGGTAATTGCAGATACCTCGTTTGTTTCCCACTCTCCTCTCTGGAGAGTTACCAGGTACACAGGAGAACTTGTGGCGTCCACCGCAGGATGGAGTCTCCTTCTCTGGCCCCCTTGTAGTCTGATCCTGTGAACCCCTCCCCGTACTTCAGCCACTGTCCTTTCCAGCTGCATTTGTACAGCAGCCTCTTCACTGGTCTCTGCCCTTTCTCCGTTCTGCACACCGCAGCCAGGATGCACCTCTGTTGTTGTTACCAGCTTAATTAAGATATAATTTGCATACAGTTCAGCCATTAAAAGTGTGCACTTCAGTTGCTTTCAGTATATTTACAGAGTTGTGCACCAGCACTGCAATCAATTTTAAAACATTTTTACCACCCAGAGAAACCCTGAGCCCATTAGCAGCGCTCCCTATTCCGTCTTCCCTCTTAGCCTCTGGCCACCACTGATCTTCCTTCTCTCTCTCTGGATTTGCCTGTTCTGGACAGTTCGTATAAATGGGATCATATACTATGTGTCTATTTGTGACTGGCTTCTTCACATATTTTTGGGGTTCACCCATGTCACATAGCATGTATCAGTATTTTGTTTTCAAAAATTAACGAATAATAGTCCATTTTATGGGTACGCCACTTTTTTTTTAATCCACTTATTGGTTAATGGGCATTTGAGTTGTTTCTACTTTTGGGATATATATATTATATATACATATATATTTTTTTATTTTTTTATTTATTTTTGAGACAGGGTTTCGCTCTTGTTGCCCAGGCTGTAATGCACAATCTCAGCTCACTGCAACCTCCGCCTCCGGGATTCAAGCGATTCTCCTGCCTCAGCCTCC